ATATATTGAGAGAAAAAGGCTTAAACGCCAATTACCAATTACTGGTAGTGACAATGTGAATGAGTGGAACTCTCTAAGAATAATACAGTCATCTTTTAAGGAACTGCACATAAACAAATCTGTAGGTTGTTGCAGGATGATGTTGCAGTACTCATCCACATGCAGTTCAGCTCAGTTGACTTTGAGCCTGATTTCTCCCAATAACCAGTTTCCTGTGTGCATGTGCACATAGCGAGAGATCAGTGACGTCAGAGAGACATACTTAAACTAGAGTTACAATACCTAACAATTGTTCTATTTCACACAGGATTCACCCTCAAAGGGTCAAAACTGAATCACTACACACCCTGCTATGATACTAACAAAAAACATGCTGTTACATGCTGTATGCGTAGCTGGACACCTGCGTTGCCACTCCCCATTTAACCAGACCTTTTATAGAGAGTACTCTTTGCTATTTGACACAAGCCTTATTGACTGTTGTTAGTTGTTGATCATTGTCCTGGTAAAGTAAGCACGGTGATGGTGAGTGGCTCCTTTCAATAGAGCAGCAACTCTGTAAGACTGAAGTGCAACATATCTCTCATACCCACAGGTCTCTTTTCAGTGCTGAGTACAAACCCAGAGGGAAAGCTGAACACAGCAGTCAGAACATCTGCACGTCAGCCACTGTGAGTACAGTTAAACAAGAATTATATTGATAAGAATTGTTTGAGAAATAAATAATTGGTTACGATATGTATTCTCAACTTCACTGTTGAGACATGTTGACAAGTCAGTATCACTAGACACAGCTTTAAAAGGTTTAAAACAACTCCTAAATTTAACCAGATTATCTAAACCAGTTATCTGGAAGTCACATTATTGAAATTTGTAACCACACTGTCCACTGTAAACATCCTGCTGTATTACAACAGTTGCACACACTTGCAGGTTGGCAGTGCGGATGATTATAATGGGCATTTCAGGAGGGCTCACCCTTCTCCAAATCAGTGGATTAAATCATGAATATGATTAAACTAGTGGTTTTTTTTCATCATCCGACTGTTGACACTCCCTGATACTGTACTTAATGCGCTCCCTTCATCAGCCAAATACTATAATAATCTCTAGGAAGAATGGTGAAAACAAACAAAACAGTGAGACCTTTGTGCCTTCCTAAAAATGATCCCATCATGTGTCTGACGCTGTCAAGTCCCAAAACGTATGGAAGTTGTAATCATCCGTAATCTATTTTCACAACTTTATCAAACAACAAACCCGGAGCTGACTCATGAGGTAACACTGACCAACATGTGCAAGCTGACGTAGAAGCTCAGAAGATGTTTGTCCTATTTCATGTTTCCAGAATGAAGTAATACCCAGTTCAATTCAATTCAATACAAAACTTTATTTCCTGTGCAACTGATGTTCCAGTCAGTGAATGAAGTTATTGTTCATCTCAACATTTGGCTTGATCTTTACCACAACTTATCAATAACACATTTATTACACAATGAGATTTGCGTGTGAATGGGTGTGTGTTCTTGTTACAATCTGTCATTGATAGAAAGAACTCATTAAAATGTTGTTACTGGTCGTTTTAGCACCCGAGTTTTTTTTTTTTTAATTGTTGCTCCAAAACTAACCTCTTCAGGACTAGTGTAACCTTCTAAGACCATGAAGCCACAATCCCGATCACAAAACCAGTGCACAAGCCTCTGTTTGGACAGTTTACTGACCCCATGGACAAAGAGCCGCTGTGTGCGCCTCAGTGCAGCCATGGGTTCCACCAAATATGCCAACACTGTCAAGAGGCACAAACGATGCAACATTAATCTCCTTTCTGCCCCTGTGCAGAGGAGGAATAAATCAGTTTACTCACTTTAAGGAGCTGCATCCGTGTCTAAGGGCACAAAGCTTAGTGCAGGACATTTGCTCATTCAAGAAGAGGCACGATTTCTTACAGTTTTTGCCACCAAGAAAAGCAAAAGAAGATTACACGGTCTCAAGGACTCACAGATAGAGCCATAAAATGTTACATCTTGTAGTCCAAAACTGTGAAACAACTTTAGCTTCTGCTGACAGATTAGTTCTTTGGATTTATTGTATAAGCGTAAAAACATTTGCCTTTAATCTGTACAGTGTAGCTTTCTTTTTTACTGTATATTACCTGCGTGTGTATGACAAGAAATCTGTTAACTGCGGTGATTATCATGTAGAACAAATATAAGAAAAAAAAAAAAAAAAGTCTGTAAATCTGCCATGGGAACTCAAGTTCCACATTGGTCTAAAAGAAGACGTCATTGGATATTTTATTGAGAAGGCCACCAAGTCCCATCATTATTGGACAATCATGGCAGGCCCAGTAGTCATCGCTCTCTGACCAGAACTGGACACCAACAGTGATGTGCTCAGCGCGGGCACATGCTGCATTTATTTGCTCAGATCTACTATGGAAACCAAACAAGAAGAGCAAAGGGCGAGCATGAAATTCATTCAAACGACGCCTTTACTGAATGGGAAGTAGACGTCGCATCACGCACCGGAAAAGTGGACGAGCCCCCTGTAGAGTTGAATGGCGTCAACCTGATTGAGCTCATATAGAACATGTGACTTTGCATGCACATCAAATACACAAAGATGAGTGACAATGCTAGCAAAGCCACATTAGAGAACATGAACTGTACAAAGTAGAATGACTAAATTTAGTTTTTTTGGGTAAACATTATAATGCATAAAAATACCAACATCAATCCTAAAAAAAAAAAAATGCAGAGTAGACACACAGATGCTTCCAATGAACCAGTGCTTAATATCATTCCTAAATCTGTACGCCCTTTAAAAGGGGCATGAAAGAACAGACCAAAAAGGAGGAGAAAGGGGGATGTTGAGTGTTGAGGAAAACAACATGAGCTCCATTACAAAAAGAAAGCGCCACATTCACAACAAAGTAAAAATGCTTTTGGAGAGGGAGCTGGAGCTAATTCAGCTACTCCTTAGGAGGAGTGATTGTTAACAGAGCCACTGGATTAAATGCACAGCCCAACCACAACGTAATGGCAACAAAGTATCTTCTAAATGAAAGGAAATATATAAAAGTCCCTGTAAAACAAAAGCGATGCAAGAGAGGTTTTGCGGAACGCCAAGTTTCTCAAACAAAAGCATCGTAAATGTAAATGTTTGTCTGCTTTAGGTCTTTTCCTGCATGTATGTGCACACTCTCATGAACCAGCCAGGCGAGGACACAACCAATTTAGCCCGATTAACAACAGATGTGTCCAGCTATTTTAGTTCGACAAGCGTTCTCTGCAATAACACCATTAGTTGTCTCCTCATTTGCAATATCATTTTTCAACCATACGTTTTCCCCATCAGGACTCCAGTGCCTTTCGGTAGCTTTTCCATAACTTTGGCATAGCCAGCGACGCTCGGCATGCTGCTAACCAACAGGCTCGCTGCGGAACCTACATCAACAGAAACCAGAGCGCGCTGGAGAAATACAACATTGTCAATTGAAATGAGGACAACTAAGATGGTTCTGGAATCAGCAGTATATGAAGTCCTCTTGAGCAATGCCAACGCAAATGGTTATACAATGGAGAGTCAAAGAGACTGTGTGTTGCTGGTTTGAGTTTTGACTGTGTGATGTGTGCAGTTTGGGTTTGGCTTGGGAAGAGCCATATTTCATGGGGTTCAGAGGGTCGGGGGCTGGTACCACATTTTTGATACTCTGCTTGTACTGTTTCTGCAAACACAGACAATAGGATGGCTCGAAAACACGCATTATGTAACTTCTTTTTCCTTTTCAATTGGAAAGCCACTAGTATTATCATTCTCAACTTCTTCATCATCGTCACCAAACGACTGTCAGTGATCACACAGAACTGCACAACATCCAGGTTGTAATCCCTTTTTTTTTGGTGCATAAACACAAACCTGTGAAGATCTATCACTGATAATATTAGTTATTTCCAAGCAATGACCATATCACTCACACAGCATTCCTACCCTTATCCTCATGAATCCTGAAATTGCCCTTCAATTACCCCTGTGAGCAGCTTCAAAGTTACAAAATCATGATTCTATACTTCTAACAGCACTGTCTCGTGTGATGTACGTTCTGGTGTTGGTTTATTCCAGCTGTTTATAGCTCAAGCTGAGGACTTATTCAGACCTAAGAAGCCATTTTTACAGCCATCTTGCGCATCATGTACCTTTAGTTCAGCGTGACATGTTTGGTATTTTGGGAAGCTTTAGGAAATTCAGTTCCATATAAAATAACATCTGAAGAGCAAATCAACCGCGAAAAGTGGGCGACTGGCCCGGAGCCCCAGAGTCAGAAAGCCCAAAACTCTGGGTTCACTGCATGTTGATTGGTATTTGGTATTTTGATTGATTGCAAATTTGTTAGAGAATTTGCACCACTAAAGTATAATATCAATCATGCAGAGGCCTGTATTATTACATATTTCTGTGGACCCCTCTTGTGTCAAACTCTGTTTTTAAGATCAGATTACAACTATAAAATTTAACTATTTCAGATTAATTTTTTTTTTTGTTTGCTCACATGGTGCATATTCCTAAAACGTGTTTAATTAAATAATCACAATCTATTTGGCATATGGAAATAGTGGAACGAGTAAATGTGGCTATGTCCAATAGTTTACAGAAAGCTCTGATACGTTTGTTATGATCTATCCAGCAGAGAGTCCTGCAGAGTAGGAGAAGTTAACCCTAAAATCAAAGTATTAACTCAAAACTAACCACAGAATGGAGATAATGCACATAAAGCTAAATTCAATCCTAACTAAACTAAATGTAACTTGCTCATTAAAGAAGTGAGAAGTGGCAGAAATTAAATCACTTTGCAAAAAATATCCTCAGTCTAACAGCTAAACCTCAAAAAGGGAACCTAAAAAAAGGGGGGGGGGGGCAGCCATACCGGAGCACACATACACAAATACACACACCAACACACGCTATGACCTCTTCCCTTCTGTGATAGAACCCAGACTGACCTACTCGCAGCTCCTGACCGAAGACTGTCCTTTCTCCCAGCGCCGAACAGTTCCAGCGTCCATATCGGAACTGGTATTGACACTCATTGATGCCCATCTGGGCGCCTTCACCCACAACAATGATGGCGTCCGGGCGGTTCTGGCAGATGGCCCGCTGGCGAGGTGCCAGCCCGGGAATCTTGTTGCAGATGATGTTGGCACCCAGAGCCACCACCGAGGACAGGGCCCTGCAAAACAGTAAGAGAAACACACCGCCACACGTGCATGTGAGCATCCGTACACAAGCGTCGATAAGGACACAAACACATGTGCACATATCAACACACATACATGCATGCATGGGTACACACACACACACTCACGCACACACACACACACACACACACACACAGAGACACAGACTCAGTTCGAGCTTCCAGAGGATGGTCAGACTGACTCACTTATGTGAGACTCTCCAGAACAGGATTCAATTCAACCAGTGATTGATGCACGTTCCGTACTGAAGTGAAAGCTGTGCTGCATGAAAGTATTGCTATTTAATGGATTAGAGGTAAATGAAAAACCTGAAAACTTAATCCAACATAAAGCATAAAAGACACACACGGGGGAAACTTGCTAAAACAGCCCAGAGAGAGAAAACAAGATGCTTATTTGACTACTGACAATGCCATTCCGCATTGGTTTGGATGGTGGGACTTTGAGTAATGAGTTGGGGTTTTCGGGTTAATTGTTAGGTAACATAGTGGCATGAAGAGTTGCCAGACTTGACTCTTACGCAAATACAGTTTGTACACTTGCTCAGCGTCTTGTGATGCAGATGCAGGGTTCACTTTTTAACCAAATGTCACACAAAATATTATTCCTTATGATTTGTGTAATTATGTGTTTGAAACCTTTTCAGGGTGTAAAGTGCTGCCTATAAATTTCATGAGAGACTCGCTTTTGCTTTAGCCACATCCTAAGACCGGTTTGAATGGAAAATATGTAAGGTTTTCAACACTGGTCGAGTATTAATGTGCTGTATAGTAAATGGCACAGCTCCTCCTCAGCTCTCCTCAGGGAGACTTCATCACATCTGATCACTCCATGCGATAATATCAAAACACATGTTAGAGATGGTTTTGTGACCGCTGAGAAAGCCAAAACAGATTACAGCTAAACAAAGCGCTGACTCTCTCCACAGCTCTGTTTATAACCCTTGAAACCATGTAGATACATACTTTTCAAACATGTCAGGGGACAGGGAAGCCATAAATGAGCACAGAAGCATACGCCGGCTTTGAAGTATGACGTCGACCTCCAAAGGCTTCACCACAAACGGGGCAAACTAACGCAGGCGAGTTGTGTATCAGCGAAAAAAAAAAAAAAAAGCGACGGCGGCGTACGAGTGGGTGAAAAGGAAGAATGGGCGAGGGGAGGAAGAGAAACGGAGAGACCCTGATCTCTGTGGACTCTAGTTCACAGTGGCGTGGGTCGGGAAGAGACCCCCCTAAGACTAAGAACAAAGATGTGATCGCTGATTAGAAATCTGTCCTGGACAACCATGTTCCCCTTCCCGCTGGTTGCTTAAGTTTCTCCACACACAGAAAAACATAAACCTCAATTTCAAACACATAAGTTCAAATAAATCCTAACTGCAGCGAGACGTGTATCTGTTACCAAACTCAGGACTGCACACGCACTCTCGCTGCAGTCAGGAGGAGTGTACTACAGTATATAAAACTAAAAGTGTCGTTGTGTGTACATTGTTGATTTTGCAAAACCTGTTTTAAAAGTTGCCGCTATTTTTTGAAAAAAGAGAACCGTGGTCAAAATGTTAATGGGACAAAAGAGGATAATTCATGTTGCACCACGACACTGTTGGTAACTTCTAAACTGGAAAAACAACCACAAACATCTCAGAGAAAACAGGGAATTCATCAGGTGCGTTCAGTGTCCACAGTAAACAGTCAAGCCTGCGGCTGCTTTCTGACTCTCTCTGCTCTCTCTGCTGGTAAACAGGCTTGAACTCCTCTGACCCTCTGTGACCCCTCTGCTGTATATGTGGTCGTTCATGGCAACGATGACATCCAGTCTGTACAAAGCAAAAGGTCAGGCTCATTAAGACAAACTGGAGAAACTCGCTTTCTGAGCGTTCAGGGTGAATAGAGCTGATTTGTTTATATCAATCCAAAGGCAATAAAATGTATGAGTCATTTATATCACAGATATTTCAGTGCCCTGCTCAAGAACTTAATACAGCAGCACACTGATATTTTCAAATCAGTAACGACCTCCCCTCTTGGCTCTTTCTCATGTCATTCACCTGCTAATTCACAGAGTCTACCATGGGCAACCCAAACCATCAGACGACACCAAACAGAGAATTCCAGAGCTAAGCTTTTAAATCCCTGCATCATCAAAGTGCACAAATGCGATTCTGTTTGCTTAGCGTATACTCTGTGTGTACGCCAGCGGCTTGGGGACGGGCTCGCCCACGGTCGCACAGATCTCCCATCAGATAGAGCATCAACAGAAACTCACGCTGCACTCACTCATGTCACAGAACTCGGCCTGCACGGACGCTGCAGTAGCAGTTAATAAACATCAAGCTTATACAACACATAGGAGGCGACTGAATGTATTTGACAGAGTGCTGCAAAGTTTGATTATTGACACAAGAGAGATGAGCTGAGTTTTTATGGAAGTTTCTAAGCAACAGGTTAGACAGACTTTTTTTTTTTTTGCCACATTTGAACCTTGCACACACACACTGCGGGTAAACCTCTGTTTTGCATTCAAATTTCTTATGTTTTTATATTAATCAATCACCAGTCAACAACGTACAGCTTCCCCTCTACAATTAAATTTATATTCTTTAATAATATGAGATTATTCTTGACAAAACGTGGGTTTTCTGTCTGTGTTATATCGATTATAAAGAAAAAAGAAGAAAAAAACTCCTCCAGCATTAAACCTCAGATGAGCACAGGCCCTCTGCTGTGTGACCTGACAACAAGTTAATTTTCTTTGGAAAAACTTCAATCTGAACCAGTGTCAGCGGCGAGGGAGCTCACAGAATTCTTTTAATGGCAGGGTAGCGCGGCTTTAAGAGTAACTATAGTCTACGTCATGGCATACAGTGCGCTCACAGCCACCTACTCCATCACATGGAACACTTTGAACCTAACTGACACACTATTAAGCTCCCAGGCATGCATCTTCTACCGAGGAATGCACTCACAAAAATGCCTGAGACACAACTTAACTAAGTCAAGTGAATAAATGCTCTTCTTCTTCTTTTTTTTTTTTCGAAGTGCAGGAAATGAACTGTTATTTTAGTGCTGAATGTAATTTTCCTCCTTTTGCTGCTAATTTACAGACACAAGAGCTTAAGATGAGCCGTGCACCCAAGCTGTTTAATTCATTACAAAATCCTATTTACATCTGTTTTAAACTACTACAGCCACAGTTGCACACTGGTTAGGCCAGTGTGATATTAAAATGAAAATGGTCAGATTATTGCCACTGGAACATTAAGCGTGAAATTCCTTGATACTGGAGTGTGAGGTGGCCACCCACTGCTCTACACATTTTACAGTTGGACATGTCAAAACACTGGTTGTTCAGTTTTGAGGAAGGGGCTCTGCGTTATTTTGTATCCATATTACTTATTCTCCTCAGTTTTGTGGCTAAGGCTCAACAGAAAACATACTTAAATAATCCAAACAAACAATGGTGTGCAGCTTTAATGTGCAAGCCATCACTAAACTTAGAAGTGGAGCCCACTTTTAACTGAAAACCAGAAACCACATCTATTTCAGCATCAGGTTTGGGGTCTCCAGGCAGCAAAGGAAGGAGCGAGGGAGCATGGGTGAGTAATTATTTTGGAAGCTTTAGGGAAGCCAGTGTTCTCCTGCAAGAGTAATTCTCGTTTAATTCAAAGCCGCAGCGCATTATAGTGTCAATCACGTGCATGTTGCAGGGAAATACTTTTTAAGATGTGGCTTCAAACGATAACATAGAAACTACTGAGAATTGACCAGAGATGAGGTAATGAACAGAGACCATCTCTCACGCGCTAGGACAGGTTAACGGTGCACGCTTGCGTAAAAGAAAAAAAAAAAAAAAACTGCCTATAATGTGTTCACTTCTCCTCACGAGGGGAAGAAGACAGAATCTCAGCATCCAATTGTCTTGAACATCTCTGCCACTCTGTGGCCAAAATGAATCCATGTAGCAGTTACCCAGACGTTTTGTTTTTCTGATCTTGCAAAATGTTTGCAGCACGACAGCTTAACACAAACCATCACTGCTTACTCACAAGAAAACGCTCCTCCGCCTGCACACGGCACAATAGCGCGTTCAGGTTTTCACATAATTACTTTATTCCCACGTGGATCGTTTTCCCGGCGACGTTTCCACTGATGAGTGTTCACTAAGAGATTTGACGCTTGTCTAACATGGGGAAGTGTGTGAAACATATTCAAGAATTAAATTAAAATAACTGACTAAGTTGCATGTCTGCTCCGCCTGTTCCCTGTGCCGTTAGTTTGATGACACAATATAAACAAGTTGAGCTGAATCTCCAATCTGTGGACGCGGAAAACTAAAGAAATTCACCTCAGAACCGGCGTTTAATGGCTAAAGGAAAAGGGAAATATAGTCCGGTAAAAAGGCTGCACAGGAGCAAAACCAAAGCCGTGCGTCTTTGTGTTGCTGAGGATGAGCGCGCCACTCTTTGAAGTTAATTAAGGAGCCGTTAATTGGCTGAAACTTACAGGTAGCTGCCACTCGTCAGGATCAGGAAGATCTGTGGATAGTAGACTGACAGCAGTACACTGCGCGACGAGAAGATGATCATGATGACATTGAGCAAATGGCCACGTTCGGACTGATTGAGAAGGCGCGGACAGGATGAAAAAAAAAAAAAAGCAAAACTCCCTTAATTCACGGCTTTAAGTCCCTTTTCGCACAAAATCAAAAAAAAAAGGGTGCTGCGCGTCTCCGTGTCTTTGGTGCGGCGGCTCTACGCAGCTCCAAGCTCCCAGGGCCGTGTGTGCGCTGAGATTGGCTCTGTCATCTCTCAGCGGCGGAGGCTGTTACACAGTACTGTGGGTTCCCGAGCCGGAATGATGATGGTTTTAGGGATTTTGCATGGCAGAAAAGTGCCTCTCTCCACTCTCATGAGAGTCGTGCCTGCCATTGGGCAGGGAGAGACACTGCTATCCGCCCACTTTGCCACAACGGGACAATAGGGTGACACTGATCCGATCCCCGTTGGACGTGCAGGAGGTTTCATTCATCATCAACCCCCCCCACCCCCACCCCCACCCCACCACCAAACCACCCCACCCCACCACCGTCCCTTCCAGCTCCCTCCTCCTCCTCCTCCTCCTCCTCCTCCTCCACCACCACCCCACCATCCAGCCAAAAATAAACAAACATAGACGCTGGCTGTTTGAGCCTCACATCATCATCACAGCTCCATGTGCAAAAAAAAAAAAAAAAAAAAAAAAAAAAATCAGCACATTTCTTTGACAGTATGACTTTTGGACAAAAGTCCTCATAATATGACAGAAATGGTTGTCGTTATATTCCTGTATGGCGCTCTATGTGAGAGTGATTATGAAAATAATATTTTTTATCTCATAATATGGTACACTGGTTAAAACAGTATTATGTCCTCTGGTAGCAACTACTCCTATAATATTTCCTCAGAGACGCATGTTGTGGTCTTCAAATAAGACTAATTGACCTTATTATACCCTGTGGTAAGACTATAATATCGCTATAGGCGTCTACAATATTTTTTCTCTGTGCTGCGCTCTGATTGTATCTGACGGCCGCCACCCTGTAACATTCAAATACTCATTTTGTGACCCTGCTGTGAAGTTGTGCAATCATTCCCTCAAACTGCAGGACTGCTAAAAAAAAAAAAAAAAAAACTATGTAAAGGTGAAGATATAAAAATAGCACCATTGTTGCCCGAGCCTGGATCTGTGCAGAGAAATAAAATACTTGGGGAGATTTTGTCGCAGAGCTGAGTGAGTGGAGGGCTTTTATCGCCTCAGCATCGTGAGTCTCACTCAACACCTGCAGGCTCCAGCCATTGTAAATGAAGAGGGTACCATGAAAGATTTAGCCGGGGGGAGAGAAAAAAAAAGGATGGAAGGAATGAGCTAAATGCTCGGGCTTAGTAAACACGGAGATAGGTGACTTTCCCCTACCTCCACCCCCCCCCGCCTCCCCCCTCCCCATATTGGAGCTACTGTCATGTGATATGAACATCTGTGGAACTTGAAGTCAGTTACACGCTTCACTCCACTTGAGGTTCTCGCAGGGAGGGCTGACACTTTTCTTTTTGATTCACTGCTGCTGCAGGAAAATACAATGAAATCAGTACAAGAGCCTGATTGTTGTGTGGGCTCACTCATTTTTTTTTAATTTTACCAAGGAAAATGGGGTGTGTCCCCCGTGGTAGTTTATATTTCAGTTAATAACTTAAGATTGTTTCATGGGCAACTGGTTGCAGTTACTCCAAAAAAGCAAATGGCACATGAAAGGTTGCCACCTACAGCTATTGATGAATAATCTGTTAAAGTGTCTGAAAAGCTCCTGTAACATGTATTGATCGGGTGGGTTTACCCTCCACTGCATCCTCATTTGCCAGGTATGCATTGTTGCATACTTACCTGTAGCTAACAGGCCCCTGGGGCTTATTATAACTTCAAGTTTATTGTATAGTTTTAAGTTATAGTGTAAGTTTCTGGGGGTCACCTTCGAAATTAGAAATAATTTCAATTAATCATTTCATAACTAAAGAAATACAAAACAACAAAAACTTCCTACATGATTTTAATGAGACAGAATTTGTCATGATTCTAGTGTGTGTGTGTGTGTGTGTGTGTGTGTGTGTGGTGGTAATGGTAGTGGTGGTGGTGGTGGGGGGTGTCTCATTTGATCAGGCTTGGGAGGTGCTGCAGTAAGGGCCTGCGGAGAAGGAAGGGATAGAAGTCCTTCTGTGTTTATACATCAAGGTGAAGTATTGCAAAACAGGTAAAAACTCCGTCTGGGCAATGGAATGTGGAAATACAACTCAGTCTGCCGCTATTAATGAAGGTATGCAGGGGTGAGCTGGATCTGGAGCAGAGACAGCGGCTCAAATTATCTTGTGCGACAAAGGAGCAGGAGTCTCCTGAGGTGAACTTAATACATCTGACAGCGAATACGAATCGATCATATTGTCTGTTGGCATGAGACCTGATCTGCAACTTTTACGCACAACACATTAAGGTGCAGGCGTTTGTATATAATGATTAAAAGCTTTTCTTTTTTTTTTTTCTTTTTTTTAAATACACCTGCTGAAAACTGTTTTTTTTTTCATATGTTTTTTTTTTTAATCTGAGGTCAGAGGGCACTCTTTGCTTTCCTGTAAAAGAGTTTATTTGTCAGAGTGTCGCAATGGCTTTGATACTCAGGTTTGCGCATGTGAGCAGCAAAGTCTACGCATGAATCACAGGACATTAAAAACTCACCCAAGTCTGAGGTATATGATGCCAAAACACAGGAACACGTAGAGACTCCGCTTTCGGAGGGGTTTGTGCATGATCGTTACCACTTTGTCCAGAGGCCATGCACTGTAACATGAAGTGGTCACACTTTTTTCCGTTCACATTGGCAGCTTTCCTAACCCTTCCAGATGCACGTAGACCGCCTGTTTTCCGCGACATCAAGCTGAAGCGCCTTTGAAATCTTCGACCGTGTGAAATCCATGGTCCAGCGGCACAGGTGAGATGCTGATGTCGACCTGAAAGGTGGCTAAGAACTCCAAAATGAAACTTGAGAGAGGGTCGGACTTGAAAGGTGAATGAGTTCTTGGAGGAAGTGCCTCCTATTCGTCCTTACTTTCACGGGAGAGCCTAATTAACAATTCCCATTTCCTGCGCCTTGCAGGTAGAAAAAAAAAAAAAAACTAGTTGCACTCACTACAGCGCCCTGCCAGCCCTGTGCGCTTCGTTTGGTTTAAAACCTTTGCTCATTGTTCGCTGTTTCTATCCTTTGAAGACACCTTCAACTCAGTCCATGTTACTGACTTACAACAGCCAGGTACTCTAATACAGGTAACAAAAGGGCTACACGCCTCCTCCTCCTCCTCCTCCAGCATGGATATGCAGGGAATGGGATGGGCTTCCAGACTGCGCTCAACACGTGTAGTTGTTGTACAGAAAACTAAGAAGAACCAAGTGAAATTGCCTTTTATAGGCCTGTATCCCAGGCTCGGCTGGCGCTTGTCGCTTGCAACATTGGGTATTGCCCCACCAGTGTGGGCTCCCCGGATGGGCTCAGCCACAACAGTAAGCCCCATAAAGTCAAACAGACGAGGAACGGCTTTCCATGTGTGTGAATAAAAATGACTTTTGCATGACTAATAATGACCAATAATAAGGAACTGGCGTCATGATAACGATGTGTCAGGGAGGCTCTGTCACTCACTATGATTAACAGTGCAATGCCTGAGCAAAACAACACAAACAAAACATCAATATTCCCATTACTTGAGCTCCAGTCTGGGTGATGTGGATTTTGAGCAGATGTTCAGACTACAGAGTCAAGTCCTTTGGGAGCTATTGTTGTGACTAAGATGACTCCCTCTGGTGGCAACTAAACACTGCTGAACTACTGAACATGGAGAGACAAAGCTCTTCACTATAATGGGACTCCTGCAGGAGAGTCCCTTCAACATCAAGACTGCAGATTAAAATCTGATTGAAGATTTAAAAATGTATTAATGTGTGATATTAAACTAACAGGAAGCTTCAGACAATGGAATTAAGGGATTTTCTTTTCATCCCGTCATGTTGAATTAAAATCACCCTCTTGATATTTTGTAAGAAGCTTTTGCTGAAGTGTTTTTGTGCAACTGCTTGACATTTGAGTGTAATTGTGTGAGTTGACTGACTGACAGACAACTACAGTAAATACATTTTACTTACCTCTCGTTTTCCACTAAATTTCTGGGGTTAAGGTGAAGAAAATGAAAAACAAAAAAAAAAGTTCCTTTGATCACTTTGGTCTTTAATTTTTACTCTTTCTTCTCTAATCAACAGAATTTACATGTGTTTTAAAGGTTTCAATTCACAAATAGTCAATGAGCTGTTCCAGAAATGTCACTATAAGTGCCAGTTAATATACTTACCACTTCTTTCTTTACTTTTGTTTAAATCAAAATTCCACTAAAGTTGTAGAATTAGGGAGGAGGAAGTCTAATATTGTATGAAGAAGTGATGTATTGTGATGTCATTTCGAGAAGGCAACGCTGGTCATTTCAACCATACCATCTTTTTTTAATGACACAACTTAGATGTCATCAGAAAAACAAATGTCTCTGCAGCAAACACTGCTCTGTCTGCTTTGTTAGACATATAAGGAACCCCTTCCTCTTCTCTCTAAATGTTATATAGACTTTGTGCACTTTCCTAAAAGCACACATGAACCATCAGTTCAGTATATTTCCAACGAACGGCATGAAAAATGGGTAACGTGTTGTAATAATGATGGCATAAACTAAAATTACAGACATGAGCTATCTGAGCACAGCGACTGCCAGGCTGTTGTTGACCACGAGAAACAGACAAAACCACAGAGACCTTTGTTTCAAGACATCCCTGCATTGTGGTTTCAAGGCCTTTTCCTTCAAAACATGCCCATCAAAATTCCAGATGGATTTTAGAAATAATGAAAGTCAACACGCGGGCCCAGGATGACATAAAAAAGACATGTATTTGATGTCTACCCTGTAAAAGATGGTCTTGTTTGTCTTCAAATGTACATAGCTCATCGTCGAGGCCTGGGTGGGGATGGTCCTGTTTAGTTTAATTAAAATGTTCAAAGCACCAACGCTTTTTTTTATTAAAGACCAGGGACAGTGTGCGTCAGTGTTATTTGTCACCCGCCATTGTCGTTACAGACATGTCACACGCATCCACGCTCGTTTTTTTTTGCACGCTCTCACACATTCCTGTGCACGCTCTCACACATGATCTGCCCCTCGGTGTCCACACATACAGTAAGTATGCATGCAGACTCACA